AGAGAGAAATTTAACCCTTCCCCCCCCCCCCCCCCCCCCCCGCGCCAGAGTGAACCCCCTGCGGGCGTTACGGGTTGGGGGGGGGGGGCAGGTTGGACACCCATCCATCCGCAGAAGGACCGGTTCTAAAACCACAGACGCGTTACTCTCGGACAGGTTGGGTGAAGAAATGCGGTCAGGGAGGGTGTGAGGAAGTGATTCGTTTGTTTGTTTCTCGAATATTGTTTCGATATTTTTTCTCTACCGCCCCGGGCGTGCGCATCTGCAATAGCACCGAGACCTGAAGCTAGCGAACTGCATGTTCGAGGACGACTCGGCGTCCCCCATCGTGAAGATCATCGACTTCGGGCTTTGCAAGGAATTGAGGAAAGGGGAGACATCTAATGCCTTCGTGGGGACCATGACCTACGCATCGCCGGAGGTAATACCCCCACCTGCGGTATCTCTTTAAAGGTCGCCTCTTCATGTTTACTGCGAAGTATGATATAGCACTTGTTGCTTTGACGGAGTAGAACATATTTGACAGGCAACTTCGGTGGCTTTATTTGTGCCGCTATCGTTTGCTAGTCTTTCGTGCGTGCGTCGGCAAACGCGCCTCAAATCTAACTTTTTCGGCTGTCGAGCGAGCCGCAGGACCGACACCGGAAGAGCAGGGCGTCATGTGTCATGTTTGTTAAGAATAGCAGAGCAATATTTCATGGAACGACGCTCGCTGCCTGCTTGCGTAGTTTGTCGTCGTGGTGATGGTGAACTGTGGTGTGGCTTTTGGTTTTCGTGCGGGAGTTTTTCGACAATAGTTTTCATCACTAAACGAGAAAACTCAATTATCGTGTGCAACGTGGTCTAGTTGGTATCCTCGAAACCTTGCAGAGGTCAGGTCATGGGTTCGAACCCCGGCGTAAGCGAGCTTTTCTTGCAAAGTGAGTTTTTCTCTCGCTTCCGCTCCTGGCCTAGTGGATAGCGCTAGTTCGTGTGTACACAGAGGGAAGAGAGTGCTGAACTCTTCTCGCATGAAAATCGAAGGCAAAGTACCGCAGGAGGGGAGGGTAGAGAGTGGCCCTTCTGTGTGACCACGGGTTGGAGTAAACGGCACTAGTGCTGTGAGCGCTGATTTGAAGTGTAGACAAAAAAAAATAAAAAAATAAAATGAATAAAAAAAAACGTAAGCCTGCTGTTATTGTTGTCGTTTTTTCGGAGGGCGGTGTAGAGGTGGCTTGCCGGAGATGGTTGGAAGAGTGACTTTTTTGGGAGGGGGTCTTTGGTGGCCTTCCCACCACCCGATTTGAGTTCTCATTGCCCTGGCCAGGCCAAGCTTGACAGGCAAACCAGGCGCTCACTACGATGGGACGGAAAAAGTCAGAAGACCTCGATCACACATATCCTGTAACCCCTTTTCACCTTGAAAGACAGAACCAAAATATATACTTCTATGAGATATTCGAGGGCGCGAGAGGGAACGCGGCTGGTCTCTCTTTTTTTTCCTACGTTCGGTTGTGGGGGTATTCTCGGCATATTGGCTGATTTTTGCCCCGCATGGATACCGTGATGGGCCCAGAACATGACCCCCCCCCCCCCCCCACCATGCACCACCCCCATCTTGCTGTTCCCGCTCGGTGCCGGCGAGTTCAGATGGTCATGAAGAACAAGCGGCATGGGATCGAGTGCGACGTGTGGTGAGTTACATTGGTCTGGGTTCGGTTGGGGGGATATTTTCCCAACCCTTTCGAAGTTTGCCCTTCCTGTCCTTTTCCGTTTTTTTTTCCTCCAGGAATCGACGCATCAACGCGGTGCTTGTCACGATTCCGTTCCAGGGTCGGCGTGGAAGAGGGTTGGCGAACGCGCACAAACACCATGTGGACAAGTTTGGGGCAAGCCGAGGTCGATTTTGTTTTAGGTAGAGTAGACGTCCTGCCTACGGCGCTGCGAAGAGCTCCGCTCCTGTAGTTTCAAGCCCCGCTGTGTCTCCCACAACACCCCCCAGAGTTGGGCCTGTGATTTACCGCCAGGGTTGTTGCACTCACCGGTCGCGGCCGATGCAGCCAGCGGCTGGGCGTCAGCCCTTTTTCCGTACAGCAAGCATGGTTAGTTTTTGCCGGAGCACAAGAAGACCAAGACGCAACAACGGCAACAACAACAACAACAACAACAACAACAACAACAACCAATACGATACCACATGCAGGTCTGTGGGTGTCATGACGTACGCCCTGGTAGGCGGGCGGCTTCCCTTCAACGCGGAAGACCCCGCGGCACTTCAGCACCAGATCAAGTACTCGCAACAGTCCTACGCAGATGAGGTGTGTTGTTGTTGTGGACGATATGGTCGGTACGAGTGTATGTGGGGGGTTATCTGTTTGGGTTGTTTCGTGGGAGTTCGAAACGCAGCAGGCTTTCTGCGGTAACCACCAAAACACTGCTGTGACCTTGGTATCATCTAGAGTTGGCAACGCAGCTTGCCTCGGGCAACCGTGCTGGTCCTCCAATAGATGCTGGGTATCTTGTCGAATGTGGTAGTGTCGAGAGCACGAACGAGATGAAGGCTTGCGGACAACCGATCAATACGTGTGTGAAAAATAGTACAATGTGCGTGTTGCTGCATCCTTACGACGACGGTTTTGTCAAGAAGAAAACGGTAAGCAAAGACGGACAACCATGGGCTAGTACTCCAAAATGATGTAGAGAGTACAGACGAGACAAAGATTCGCACATGCATAGGGCCGGAATCAATCGGTGGCTGCGTACAAACGTACGCTCGCTTTTGTTCATGTTGCAGCCTACAGCGTTCGATGTCACACGCACCATCTGCGGGTGAACGGATCAGCGACAGATGACGATGATGATGATGATGTGAGCCGAAAAGAGAGTCATCAACGCATACGTGTGCATACGCACGTTACACAACGCACGCTCACTACTGCTGTGATGCCACGCTCAAACAATCGCGACGACCCAACGCTGCTGTACAGCACACCACGGGCACGACATGACCGCTCATCCCAGTTCCACGCAAAGAAGTTGTCCCGCTCGTGTGCCAGTCCACCGGAGAATAAAATTGATGAACCCGATATACACAGAGAAAATATTTTGTCAAAGGAGCCGACAAATATATATGTATATATATGCTCGCGCCCGTATTAACAAGATCAAATAAATTTACCCGCAAAACGCGGCGGAATAAGCGGTAGCCTCCACGGGGCAGGTGACAGAGGTGTGCCCCGACCCTGTCGTTGGAGGCTAATCCCGGCCTCGACGTGGGTAATCCCGTTGTAGATTGGAGTTCGATGTTAGGTAGGCAGCTATTCGCACGCGCAAATTGGTCGAGATCGGAGTTATTGTACAATGGATGCATGGATTGATGTGTTCCGGCAAAGAGAAGAGAGAGTCATGAATCAACAAGTTGTTATTTTATTGAGCGTGCGAAAGGCGGCGGAACATACTTCCGCGTCGGGAGGTTGCAGCGGTGTGGCCCGAACCTCTCTTTGGCAGGAAAAATTCGTAGACACACAGTTTGGTGGACGATAGGCAACGTTTAGGCACAAATCCATCGAGATGGGAGCAAGTTGGTGCCGGAAGCACCTGCCGCATGCTCGTGTTTCGTGCTTGAGAAGGCCGGTCACCGACACAGCCAAACGTCAAGGCAGGAGGCACCTATCAAGCTGAAGTTTGCTGAGGGCGTCTAATGTAAAGTGCGGGACGGCCGATGGTGTGATTCCTCGTGCCTCGGGCGTTCGGGTCAAAAAAGTCCGTGGTTTGGAGCTTCGGAGTGAAGGGCATCAGACACTTTTTTTTGCCGTTTTGTGAGACCTCTAGAGTCCGTATCGGTCTCTTCGAGGAACCGGTAGTCTTCCTGTGATTGCATGTTTACAGTATTTCCTAAGGAAACACACACGCAACGCCGATACCAACGCTATCGCCACCACCCAAACACTGCTTTGACTGTTGTGGTATTATCTCGAACGAATCGCCTTAGTTGTTGTCTTCTTCATTAACACAAGTTCCGGTCTCCGCTTAGTACCTTTGTACATTTCTAAACATAGACAAACATCGCCGATATCTGAATTGTTTCTGTGATTGTATGTACTGTACGTGTTCTATCAACAAGAAACGCACAACGCCAATATCAACACCAACGGATGAAATGCCGACAGACGTGGAAAGGCGTGTCGGCGCTGTGCCGAGACTTTATCGACAAGTGCCTGCACAAGCTCCCGAAGAAGAGGATGACGGCGAAGCAAGCGCAGCTGCACCCGTGGATCAGGAAGGCAACCAAGGAGATGGAGGGGGCCCCGCTAAGCAAGGATTCGATGCTCGCCTTGGTCAACTTTCAAAAAACAAACCTATTCGAGAAGTAAGTGCGGGAGGGGAGGGGGGGGGGGTGTACTCATAGTCGTGCATGCCGTAGTCGTTTGACCATTGACCTCGCATCCCTACAAAGCCGGGACGGAGCACGCCGGGTTCTCACCGGACCAGGCTCTCACATCACCAAGCGCGAAGCGCCGTGAGGTATTTGGCGAGTCGCATGAAGGGTGAGCTGCATCCTGCTAAGGGTGTTCGGCATCTTGTGCTTACTTCCTTGCGTACGGATGACAGCTACGTATGACTTAATTTATTTTCTGGTGCTTTCACTTCCAGAGACAGTTGTAAGCACTGTGTAACTGCCTCGAGGAAGCTTGACCATTTAACACAACGTGGTACCATCATCCCCCGTTGCCCGGAGTGAGGTTTCTCCACCCCACACAACATGATCTACTCGACC